CACCGGTTACTTTCATACACCCCTTTAGAATAATTTCAGACCAGACAGGACAACGTTTCAAAGGGTTTAGTGAGAAAACATCAGCATAACAGCTTAAATAGGCAATGGGTCTTTTCCTAATTTACTAACTGTGACTGCCCCAGCATACCTGCAAGGGGAGAGTACAATAATAGCAAGCCCAGAGTAGTAATGGTCCATGATGACGGTGTCCCGACAAGTCATTGTTTTAAGACTAGACTGTATGTCCCAGCAGACCCTCTACATTATGATATTTGTGTGGTTCCCCAGGTAGAATTCAGTGGGAGACTCTCTGGGTTCCAATCCCCTCTCTTTTTTATAATCACATAGGACAGGTGGACCGGGCCCCAAAAAAAGCCCGTGAGCCTAGCCCAGGGAAGAAGATAAAAACATTAACCCCCATCCCCGTGCAAGGTAGCCATAACTAAATACCTACAGTAGGAAACCTGCCTACACACCAGTGGGAACACCTGTCCTCAGGGGTCTCTGTTCAGTAGAGCAGGATATATTTCCCACCAGTGGGATCACCTGTCCTCGGGGGTCTCTGTTCAGTAGAGCAGGATATATTTCCCACCAGTGGGGCCACCTGTCCTGCAGGGTCTCTGTCCATTAGAGCAGGATATATTTCCCACCAATGGGACCACCTGTCCTCTGGGGTCTCTGTGCATTAGCACAGGATAACACCAACATCTATCTTTTTTTTAATCAGAAAAAGGTTTTATTGAATTAAAAATATACATTTCCAGTGTTCATTAAATAACATTTGAAAAATGGCACAGAGTGTGATGCCTCCAACATTGTATTAATAATGTGTTTAACCCTGTAGTGGCACAGCACACAAAGGAACAGCTAACCAGATAATACAGTATGTACTTAGCAATACTATCCTATTTGTAAATACAAATGTGCACATTCCAACATTACAGAAGTCTGTCTAAAACCAAAATAATCAGGCTTAGCCCAGAAGTATAAAATCATTGGACCCATATTTTTTTCAAATTTTTCCAGACATCCACTGTGTTGGTAAATAGATCACTCTAGCCTATCTGTATCTCCTATATGTTCTACCCATTCCATAAGCGTAGGTGAGTCCTCAGAATTCCAATGCAATTATGTGCCTGAAATAGCACCCTAGAAATTGCTTGCTTAGGAAACTCCAGTACATGGAGATTGGAATTTTGGGTCTTCCCGGACTGTGACCTGAAACACCTTATTAAGAGTGCTGATAACCTATGTCTAGCAAATATGTGGTTTGGGATATTTCCACAATAGGTGGATCAAGTCACCATGATTTCTGCAACACCTACTGCACAAGGAGTCACATGATTCACCCAGTTTGAATAATTTCAGTGGTGTATAATGAGCCTGCAAAATAATACTTAGTTGTGTAAGTTTTTGAGAAACATTAAAGTGGAGCTCCTCTCAAAAGCGGAGGTTCCGCTTTAAAGACTGGTCCCCCGCTCCCCATTAAGGATTGGCACGTACCCAAAATTGACAGGTACCCACTCCCACTTCCGCTGCAATCGCCTAGGCGACCAGAAGCAGAAGTTGTCCTCCTACCCTCCCTTCCCGAAGTCTTGTGGGACATGTGACAGGTCCCAGAAGACTACAGGGCCATTCAGGAAGCACAGCACTACTCGCGCATGCACAGTGGGCACCCGACTGTGAAGCCGCAAGCTGTCACAGCCGGATGCCCACACTGAAGATGCCAGCGCCTACAATACCAGACAGCTGGTGAAACGGGCTGAGGGGAGGACACCACGGGATTGTGGGACATGTGAGTGGCTGTTTTTTAAAAGTCAGCAGCTACAGTTTTTGTAGCTGCGTACTTTTATTTTTTTACAGTGTTTAAATTCACGCTTTAAGTGAACAGACCTATACTGCTGCATGGCTTTCTCCAACTGCTCCTCCTCAATGAACCCAACATCCATTTTCCAAAGGAAATTGTCTTCTAGAAAAGCAAAGCATTCAGTAACAAGACGTACCACCTATATATAAACCCCTTGGAGGTTTCAGTGTTTTGCATTAGGTTAAATACTGGAGTAGGGGATTGGCGCCATGGATCAGAACCATGTTGACTACACGTTAAGGTTGCATATAATAATTAAAAATACATCGACTGTGTCTGAGGAGAAAGCTACCATGTCGATCTGAGAAAGGTCTAAGAGCCATCCACAAAAATATGGGAAATACCATATCTACAGGTGAAACTCGAAAAATTAGAATATCGTGCAAAAGTTCATTTATTTCAGTAATACAACTTAAAAAGGTGAAACTAATATATGAGATAGACTTATTACATGCAAAGCAAGATAGTTCGAGCCGTGATTTGTCATAATTGTGATGATTATGGCTTACAGCTCATGAAAACCCCGAATCCACAATCTCAGAAAATTAGAATATTACATGCAATCAATAAAACAAGGATTGTACATAGAACAATATCGGACCTCTGAAAAGTATAAGCATGCATATGTACTCAGTTCTTTGTTTGGGCCTCTTTTGCAGCAATTACTGCCTCAATGCGGCGTGGCATGGAAGCTATCAGCCTGTGGCACTGCTGAGGTGTTATGGAAGACCAGGATGCTTCAATAGCGGCCTTCAGCTCTTCTGCATTGTTCAGTCTCATGTCTCTCTACTTTCTCTTGGCAATGCCCCATAGATTTTCTACTGGGTTCACAGCAGGGGAGTTTGCTGGCCAATCAAGCACAGTAATCCCACGGTCATTGAACCAGGTTTTGGTGCTTTTGGCAGTGTGGGCAAGTGCCAAGTCCTGCTGGAAAATGAAGAAGAAAAGCTTGTCCGCAGAAGGAAGCATGAAGTGCTCCAAAATCTCCTGGTAGACGGCTGCGTTGACCCTCGACTTAATGAAGCACAGTGGATCAACACCAGCAGATGACATGGCTCCCCAAATCAACACAGACTGTGGAAACTTCACACTGGACTTCAAGCATCTTGCAGTGTGTGCCTCTCCATTCTTCCTCCATACTCTGGATCCTTGGTTTCCAAATGAGACGCAAACGTTGCTCTCATCAGAAAAGAGGACTTTGGACCACTGAGCAACAGACCAAGTCTGGTTTTCTTTAGCCCAGGTAAGACGCTTCTGACGTTTGTTGTTCAGGAGCGGCTTGACAAGAGGAATACGATATTTGAAGCCCATGTCCAGGATCCGTCTGTGTGTGGTGGCTCTTGATGCACTGACTCCAGCCTCAGTCCACTCCTTTTGAAAGTCCCCAACACTTTTGAATGGCCTTTTCCTGACAATCCTCTCCAGGCTGTGGTCATCCCTGCTGCTTGTGCACCTTTTTCTTCCACACTTTTCCCTTCCACATAAATTTCTATTAATGTGCTTTGATACAGCACTTTGGGAACATCCAACTTCTTTTGCAATTACCTTTTGAGGCTTTCCCTCCTTATGGAGGGTGTCAATGATGGTTTTCTGCACAACTGTCAGGAGTCTTTCACATGATTGTGATTCCTACTGAACCAGACTGAGAGACCATTTAAAGGCTCAGGAACCCTTTGTGTTATGGCTTAATTAGCTGATTAGAGTGGGACACTTTGAGCCTAGAATATTGCACCTTTTCACAATATTCTAATTTTCTGAGATTGTGGATTTGGGGTTTTCATGAGTTGCAAGCCATAATCATCACAATTATGACAAATCACGGCTTGAACTATCTTGCTTTGCATGTGTTGAGTCTCTTTCATATATTAGTTTCACCTTTTAAGTTGCATTACTGAAAAAAATGAACTTTTCCACAATATTCTAATTTTTTGAGTTTCACCTGTATTCCATCTATCACTATAATGAAGCCTGAGTAATTCAGGATAATTATTATTTCACCGTATAGACCTGTACATAGTATATAAACTGATCAGCAACTCATTTTTGTTTGTGATGCAATTCAATAGGAACTGCACTCCTACCTAAACATCTACCCAAAAGCTGTTCTGTATATATCCACTAAAAAGATCATGGGGATGTTTACTGAAGCCAAATAGACTGTTCACTTTAAAAAGGGAAGTTGCACATTTAAAGCGGTCATTCAATCATGTGCAAGCAAAAATGGTGTGTTTTTTATTTTCCATGCACCCAACTGCGTATTCTTTGCAAAGTCAAATTTCACCATATTCACTAAGCTTTAGAGATAATTCTCTTCCAAAGTGCAACCTCCTCTGCAGAGTGAACGGCTTATTTGCCTTTAGTAAATCAACCACGCTGTATCAAAACAAACAAAAAATGCAGCACTAAATTCAAAATACATGTATAAATAAATACCAGATAACTATTAACTACTTACCCTCCTGAGGATTTACCCCCCTTCCTGACCAGGCCATTTTTGCCAATGACAATTACCGCAGTCATGCAACGCTGCACCCAAATAAAATTTACGTCTGTTCCCCCACAAATTAAGTTTTCTTTCAGTGGTATTTGATCGCCTGTGCAGTTTTTATTTTTTGCGTTATAAAAAAAAAAAGACCAACAATTTTGAGGAAAAAAAAAAACAATATTTTTTACTTTTTGCTATTAACCACTTGCCTACTGGACACTTTCACACCCTTCCTGCCCAGGCCTATTTTCAGCTTTTAGTGATGTCGAACTTTGAATGACAATTGCGCGGTCATGCAACATTTGAAATTTTTATCTTTTTTTATACAGATAGAGCTTTCTTTTGGTGGTATTTATTCACCTCTGGATTTTTTATTGTTTGCTAAACAAACTAAAAACAACTGAAAATTTTGGGAAAAAAAAAAGTTTTCTTAGTTTCTGTTATAAAATTTGGTAAATAATAATAATTTTTCTCCTTCACTGATGTGCGCTAATGAGGCTGCAGTGATGGGCACTGATAGGCTGCACTGATGAGGAGGCACTGGTAGGTAGCACTGATGGGCATTGACAGGTATCACTGATGGACACTGAAAGATGGCACTGATATATGGCACTAATAGGCAGCACTGACTGACACTGATAGGCAGCACTGACCGGAACTGTTAGGCAGCACTGATGGCCACTGATAGGTGGCACTGACAGGCAGCACTGACTGGCACTGATTAGCAGCACTGATAGGCGGCACTGAAAGGCAGCTCTCTGATGGACACTGATATGTGGCATTGATGTGCACTGGTAGGCACTGATATGTGGCATTGATGTGGCACTGATGGGCACTGGCAGGTGGCATTGATGGACACTGACAGGTGGCACTGATGGGGATACACTGATGATCAGTGTATATGTCCCCTCTGAGGAATGCAGATTACTGACTCTCCTCTCCTCGCGAGCTGTCAGCGTAGCAGCACGTGAGGAGAGGAGTGCCGATAACCGGCATTTCCTTATTTACATGCGATCAGCTGTGATTGGACACAGCTGATCACATGACAAAGCCAACTTCATTGGTTCTTTCCGCTGATTGGTGATCCGCTGTGTCCCAGGGAGAGGAGAGTGGAAGGAAGTCATATGACGCCCTCCCAGAACGAGAGAACCGCCTGGCTCCCGTCATTACCTAATATGGCGGGAGGGAGGTGGTTAAACATGTCCAGTAAAAAAAATTTAAATTTTAAAAATCAAATATATTCTGCTATATGTCTTTGCTAAAAAAAAAAAAAATCTCAATACGTGTAAATTAATTGGTTTGCATGACAGTTATAGCGTTTACAAATGGCAGTATAGATACTGGAATTTTTTTTCTTTTAGCTAGTAATGGTGGCGATCAGCAGCTTATAGCGGGACTTCGGCGGGCATTCTAACACTGGGGGGAACTGACTTGGTGTCACTGACATCCCCAGTGACACCAACACAGTGATCAGTGCTAAAAAAAAAAAAAAAAAAAAAAAAAAAAAAAGCACTGACACTATACTAAGGGCACTGGGCAGGAAGGGGTTAACATGAGGGTGATCAAAGGGTTAACTGTGTGCTGTTTTACTTGTGTCTGTGCTTCACTGTAATCACACTACTTTGCATGGATGTGCACAGCCATCCAAAGCAGTGTGCATGAGCTGACAGGGAGGAGAACTGTATTGTTTACATACAGTTCTCCTCCCCGTTGGAGATGCTCAGCAATCACCGGACGCCGGCGCGTAATCAGTAATATGAATTCACTGTATACATACCTATATGAGATACTGAACTCCACTCATGAAGCGGTATGTACCACTTTAAGGAACAAAGTAAAATACCACTTAGCGCTTTCCAAAAAGTTTTTTGGCACACAAAAAAAAAAAAAAAGATTCTAAAATACCGCATTTTTTTTCTGAAATTTGTGATATTTATCTTGTGAAACCATGTGGTATTTTATCTCATACAATATCCAGTGGAATTGATACTGTAGAGAATTAGAACCCGTCAGTTTTTATTGCTAATAAAGAGGTAAAATGGTTTAAACTGTAGAAAAAACATGCCAACTTACAGTCAGTGTGGTCCGTGCAGCATATGTATTAATACAAAAGAAATAAGCGAGTGGAATACCAGTCAAAGGGAAGCTGCTTTCACAGGCCACACATGGTATATCAAAAACAACTAAGTTAAATTAAATAAATACCGTATTTTTCGCTCCATAAGATGCACCTGACCATATGACGCCCCTAGGTTTTAGAGGAGAAAAACAAGAAAAAAAATATTCTGAACCAATGGACTGCAGACATAGTACAGAAAATGACCAGAGACTGCGGACACAGTAGAGGGGATGACCAGAGACTGCGGACACAGTACGGAAGATGACCAGAGACTGCGGACACAGTACAGGAGATGACCAGAGACTGCGGACACAGTACGGGAGATGACCAGAGACTGCGGACACAGTACGGGAGATGACCAGAGACTGCGGACACAGTACGGGAGATGACCAGAGACTGCGGACACAGTACGGGAGATGACCAGAGACTGCGGACACAGTACGGGAGATGACCAGAGACTGCGGACACAGTACGGGAGATGACCAGAGACTGCGGACACAGTACGGGGATGACCAGAGACTGCGGACACAGTAGAGGGGATGACCAGAGACTGCGGACACAGTACAGGAGATGACCAGAGACTGCGGACACAGTACAGGGAGATGACCAGAGACTACGGACACAGTACAGGAGATGACCAGAGACTGCGGACACAGTACAGGGGATGACCAGAGACTGCGGACACAGTACAGGGGATGACCAGAGACTGCGGACACAGTACAGGAGATGACCAGAGACTGCGGACACAGTACAGGAGATGACCAGAGACTGCGGACACAGTACAGGAGATGACCAGAGACTGCGGACACAGTACAGGAGATAATCAGAGACTGCGGACACAGTACAGGGGATGACCAGAGACTGCGGACGGTATAGGGGGTGACCAGAGACTGTGGACATAGTACAGGGGATGACCAGAGACTGCAGACACAGTACAAGCGATGACTAAGAGACTGCAGACAGTACAGGGATGACCAGAGACTGCGGACCTTTAGGGAGGGAGGGGGAGCGGGTAACTGAATTTACCAGGTACCCGCTCCCAATTCCGTGGAGTTGTCCTTCCTTTATTGTGGGCACCTGGCTGTGACAGCCGGGTGCCCACTGCGCATGCGTGAGAAGCGCTGCACTTTGTGAATGGATCAGCGTCTTCTGGGACCTGTCATGTGTCCCAGAAGATGCCGGACCATTCAAAAAGCGCAGTGCTTCTTGCGCATGCGTAATGGGCACCCGGCTGTCACAGATGCTGGCGCTGGAAGACTGCACAGCGCTGGACCAAGGAACAGGTAAGGTCCTGCAGCAGAGAACAGCTGGTTGGCCCGGTATTCTGACATCGTGGCGGCGGAAATACCGGACCGGCCGCTTTATATTCATTTCATAAGACGCACTGACATTTTCCCCGGTTTCTGGGGGATAAAAAGTGCGTCACATGGAGCGAAAAATACGGTACACACTTTATTTATTATTTTATTTCAGGTACTTATATAGCGCCGTCAATTTACACAGCGCTTTTACATATATATTGTAATTCACATCAGTCCCTAACCCTCAAGGAGTGTACAATCTAAGGTCCCTAACTCACATTCATACATACACATACTAGGGCCAATTTAGACAGGATCCAATTCACCTACCAGCATGTCTTTGGAGTGTGGGAGGAAACCGGACTACCCGGAGGAAACCCACGCAGGCACAGGGAGAACATGCAAACTCCAGGCAGGTAGTACCATGGTTGGGATTCCAACCAATGACCCTAGTACTGCCAGGCGGAAGTGCTAACCATTTAGCCACTGTGCTGCCATTTCTTTATAAATGTCAAATATTGAATGAAAATACTGTAGTATCAAAAATCACATATATGTGTGATTTTTTATACTATTTTCATTCAATATTTGACATTTATAAAGAGATGTTGTATTTACCGTATTTTTTGCTCCATAAGACACACCTAGGTTTTAGAGGTGGAAAACAAGAAAAAAAATATTCTGAACCAATGGACTGCAGAAATAGTACAGGAAATGACCAGAGACTATGGACATAGTACAGGAGATGACCAGAGACTGCAGACACAGTACAGGAGATGACCAGAGACTGCGGACACAGTACAGGGGATGACCAGCGACTGCGGACATAGTACATGAGATGACCAGAGACTGCTGACATGATTCTGACAAGGCATACAGGCAGGCGGGCACTAGGACCCAGGCGCACCTGTCACCGATGACAGCGCCAGGCAGGCACTAGGACTCAGGCGCGCCTGTCGGCACTGGGCGGGCTATTTAAAGAGCACCTCCATGATGATTCAGTGCTGACTGGTCTTTCAGCCCCCCCCCCCCCGTGGCCTGCTAGTTCCTGACGTTCCCTTTGTTGCTGACCCGGCTTGTTCCTGACCCGACTCCGATTGCTCTCCTGCTTCCTGACTTCAGCTCTGCTCCTGACCTTGGCTTTCTCTTCTGATTCGGTACTGCGCTGCCCAACTGTTTATGACCCTGGCTTGTCTGACCCTGCTCCAGTCCTGTTCCTGGCTACCTACCCTGCTCTGCTGCACATCCGCAATCCACAGTACCTGCCTGCTCTATTGCTACTGTGCCCTAAATCAGTGGATACTCAGGGATACTCAGTCTACCAAGGGCCATCATCTGCAAGAGCCACAAGCAACAACTCCTGGCGCTCTTGTCCCCCTGTTCCAACCTCAGTGGGGTCAGCGCTAGGGACACAAGTGAGGCCGACCTCGTCAACTCAGTCTCCCATCAGGTACGTGACAGTACCAGTCAGCCATTGATGGAGTCTGAAAGGGAGGCCTCACGACTGGGGGACATTCGCCAATCAGTCACAACCATGTTCCACGTGATACACGGTCTGCAGAAGGACTTGGAACACCTGGAAAATAAATTGCTAGCCGACTCTAATGCCCGCACAGACACAGACCTAACAGCAACCTCTGATACAGCTACTCAGAGAGAGGCCAGTATGATCCTCGAAAATTCTGCCCCTCCGGAACCCCGGGTGCCGGACATTCAGGACCTTTCGGAATTCCTGCGAGTTGTACTTCTCGTTGCTTCCCAGGACCTTCTCTTCATCAAATATCAAGGTGGGATTTATCATCACCCTTCTCAGAAATGAACCCCAGTCCTGGGCATACCATCTCCGTGAATGACAGATCCGGTCCTAACCTCAGTGGACTCCTTTTTCACAGCAATGGCTCAGATCCATGCTGACCCCTCCGGCGGCAAACCGCGGAATCTATGCTTAGTAAGCTTCAGCAAGGGCAGAGACCCGTAGAAGAATATGTTGCCAATTTACGCATCTGGAGTTCGGATACTCTGTGGAACGAGTCGGCTCTCCACTATCAGTTCCATCTGGGTCTTTCGGATATCCTAAAGGATGAGTTGGCCCGAGTGGGGGTATCGACCAGATTGGAGAGTCTGATAGACCTATCGATCCATATCGACCATAGGATTCGGGAAAGACAGGAAGAAAGGACTAACGGGAGGATTCTGATATGCTCGGAAGTTGGGCCCTCTATGAGTACTGCTCCATCAGAAAGGCCCGTTAATTCCGTTAGAAAGAGCTTTTGGAGACCACCGCTCTCCACAGCAGACTGCCTTCATCGACAGAAATCCAGTCTCTGTCTCTACTGTGGTGATGCAGGTCATTTCGTGGCCACCTGTCCAATAAAACCTCGTAAACCCTCTCCCAACTGTGTCTACATGATGCATCCTCCAGGAACTAGCCGAATGCACCTCTCCTTCCTTCTGCAACTGCAACTGGCTGAGAGGACAATCACGGTCCCGGCCATCATAGACTCAGGTGCTTGCAGCTGCTTCATGGACGCTCATTTTGCTGCTCAGAATCTGATCCCGATCCGCACCAAGGCACAAAGGCTTGCAGTTCATTTGGCAGATGGGTCTGGTATCAGTTCCGGCCCAGTAACACAGGAAACTATACCAATCTACTGTTG